CAAGACCAGACAATGCCTCTTTGTTCAGGCGATCTGGTATTTATGAGAGCGCCGTGTCATTCTGGGCTCTGCCACCCGTCTCAAGGTGTTGAGTCTAGGAAGGACATCCAAAATGGGACCATTGTCTTTACGTGTGGCCCTGGGTGCAAGAAGCATGGGGACAGGAAGGGTCCCAGGGACGCCCCTCTGCCGTCAGCCTCTGGCACTTCACTTGGGGGGGGGCAGTCAGAACTTAGTACAGGGGCTTTGCCCTACGGGCAGACAGGATCCACTTACAACTCCCCTAAACTGCACTGGTAGCAAGCGTGAGGGGAGAGGGTGTTCCCAAAAGCTTTCCCACTCCACATTCTAGCTGTGCCCGAAGACGTGAGCAGTGACTCACGCAGGCTCCTCCTCGGCCACCAATGCTGTTAGTCTTTCAGGCGCTCCTGGACTCTGGCTGTTTTTTTAATCCTGGCAGGAGTAGGCTTGTTTGAGGTTGCCCCCATTGCCTCCAAGTAACTTTTCCCCCACCATAGAGAACAGTGGAGGCGATGGGGGCAACCTGTTTGGGGGCCCTTAGAATTGGACCCCCTGGTCCGATGCCCTTGAAACTTGGTTGGTATCTTGGGGAGAGGCTCCAGCAGCTACCCTGCGAGTTTGGAGTCTCTCCCTCAAGCCCCCTACCTTCCAGCCCACAGAATATACCCTATGTTTTCGCCATTGACTTCAATGGCCTATAGGATGTAATGGGGCTGAAATTGGCATTCGGCTGGCCAAAAGACTCCCAAATTGGCTGGTACTGACGAAACTGACATGCGGGAGTCTTACTGCCAGCTGAAATAGATTCTGCCCAATTCGGCCGAATCTGAATGGGCCGAATTTATTTTTTTTTTTTGGCATACCCTTAGCAGGGAGGCGCATAGACACACAAGCAGTGTTAAACCAAACCAAGTCAAGTGCGGCAATGAAGATGCGCTGGTCCAGGCAGGGCCTTCAGCCGGGTATTGTTGGTGTCAGCTAGACCTCTAGCTGCCATGGAGTGTAGGGGGGCCCTCTGGAATTTTAAGTTTCTTTCCTCTGTGCCTTCAGTGCTTCTTTATCTCTGTGACATGAGCATTTGGTGTCTAGCACCAGCTTTCTCCTGGGAAACTGGACCCGTTAGCTTTTGCGGGCTTCTACCTGTTCCGTGATTGGCTCCAGGCCATCAGGGGACCTTCCTGAATTATGTATATCCAGGGCTATTTTTGGGCAGGAACGCACAGGAACGGAGTTCCAGCTGGCTCCCAAGTTGGCCATGCCCAGCAGGAACTCATTAGCATAATAGGCCACACCCAACAGCAGAAACTCATACGGATTGGCTACAATTAGGGGTGTGTGGCCTAACATGCAAAAAGCCCTGGGTTTTGTCAACAAACAAGGTAAACAGAATAAGCAGCAAAAGGTGGGTGTGGCTGGATGGCCACACTTCTGGTAACATGGGGGTGTGGCCTAATATGTGAATGAGCTGTGCTGTCAGGGGTGTGGCATAATATGCTAATGAGTTCCTGCTGGGCTTTTTCTACAAAAAAAGCCCTGTGTATATCTATTTGCTTTGCACGCTTATTGCCAGTTCTGACACGAGATGTGTAAAGTACAACCTGCATACTTCAACGTTTTAATGAACTTTACTTCTTTGCAAGGAAGTCGCTGGGAACTGACTGCTGGAAGAGTCTGACCGTTGGTGTCCCTGCCGGAAGCAGCTTCGTGCAAAGGCTCTCTTCTCCCCTTGTTTCCGGAGTCCAGGCATTTCTGTAAATGCAACGTGGGACGGGGAGCCTTTCGAGGGTTTTTCGGTGGCGCGGCTGCAGACTGTCCTGCCGGCACCACTGCAAGCCACAGCCCAAAGACGCGTGTCGGAGGCCACTTCAGCGCACCCCGAAGTTTAAAAACGGAAGGTCCATGTTCTTTATTTTGCATTAATACATTGTAATTGCTTTTACAGAGTCCAGCATACCAACTGCAAGTAAATACTACAGATGGGCTCACAAAACTAGTGCATTTCTCCCAAAAGCAAAAGACTAAAACCCTTTCAACTCTTTTTTTTAAAAAAAAATACATTAAAACGTACCACGCACACATATTGCACTTGTCTCCATATGAAAAAATTTTTTTAACCCCATGTACATCTCACCAACGTCTCTTCAAAGGAGCCTGTATTCAAACTAATAAAGCGACTAGTTGCTCTACAGTAGTTAGACACAAAATCCTCTAAGGACGGACACGGCAGACTCGACAGAAGCGGTTATTCCGAAGTAGCTGGTAATACCGGGGGGACGGGGGGATGGACGTGAGCGTGGCCGAGGAAGAAATGGCTTCCTCCACTGCTGTAAGAGAAATGACACCGAATGTTGAGAAACGTCTGACCTAGTTTTACATTCAGAACTTCCACTCCCCTAAACTGAGGTACAAAAGCGATTTGCCAATGGAAAACGGACATTTATTAGCGCCCTGCCCCTGAATACTGACCCGTAGCCACCGCCTAGGGCCAGCTACGGTTTGTGCTCTGTCTGCGGCACCACGGGCGTTTTCCCTGCGTGAAGCGCGGGCACCCCGGGTCCCTGGCAGCTGGGGGGGGGGGGGGGGCTGCTTTCCTGGCCTTCAGCAGACCATGGCGGCGGAGGTCTCGAGGCCCCGGAGTCTGCTCCGCTCCCTGGAGCATCCTCTGACCCATCTCTTGCGGGAAAGCTGATTACAGGAGGCCGAGGTGCCCCCTTCAGAAGCCACGGATGCCTGAGCACGGGGTTCTCAACCCCCCCCCCCTTGGGGAACTGGAAAACGACCGAAAACAGCTTAGAGACACAGCTGGCAACGTGAGGTCTGCTTGGAGGCCGTCTCCACCTTGCCAAGATGGTACCCCTCCTCCCGGGGCTATGCTGGGTGAAAACCTCTGGTGGGCTGGAGATGGTCAGAGGGCCGTTGTTGCCTGCCCCTGGCTTGGGGTGGGGTGAACGGTTGCCTTGCCCGTTGAATAAAAAAACACAC